AGTTAATTACTGTCACTATTACTGCCTGCTCGGTTCTATTATCTATATTACTACCTCGTCGCTGCTCTTGCTTTGGCCTTTATCGTTACACCTACCAAGTCATCTCACCATCCCTCTCTTCCTCTCTCTCCTCTCTCTCTCTCTCTCTTCTGCCTTCTCTCTATCCTGTCCCCCCTTCTGTCATATCACGCCACTCGAGGCTGGCAAGATTCACCACAAAACTCTAAAAGGGACAAGGTGTTCCGGATACAAAAGGAAGAAAAAAAAAAGAAAGGAAAAAAAAAGGAGAAGGACTTTCCTATCGATACATTGAACATCAATCCCACAAGGCGAATTCAACTCCTAACAGGAGAAGAAGAGAGTACCTTTCCATCTCTTTTTTTTTCTTCTTTTCTCCTTCTCTTCTCTCAACAAAGGGGTCCCCGATTTTACCGACTCCACCGAGCCACAACAGATCGAACATACACAACGAAAGCATCTCCACTCGAAGAAAAAAAAAAGAAAAAGAGAGGAGCGGTTTCAGAAAAGAGCAGAGGGGGGAAAAACGGGAGTTGCCAAGAAAAGAGAACGTGCGCACGCGGCAATGGCTATATCAGAGACGACTACAACCACGGCCACAACCACGGCCACAGAACCAGCAGCGACGAAGAAGAAGACGACGGCGACGACGACGACGACGACAACGACAGCGACGACGACAGCGGCGACGACGGCGACGATGGCGGCATCGGCAGCGGCAGCACCCGACATGCGGGCTCGTCGACGCGAAGAGTTCCACGAAGCAGACGTGGTGGTGGTGGGTGCGGGCATCTTCGGGTGCGCCATCTCGTACGCGCTCGCGAACCAGGGGCGGTCGGTGATACTCCTCGAGAGGTGGATGCACGAGCCGGACCGGATCGTCGGGGAGCTCCTCCAGCCGGGCGGGGTGGCGGCGCTGCACAAGCTGGGGCTGGGCCACTGCCTGGAGGGCATCGACTCGATCCCGTGCCAGGGGTACACGGTGCTGCACAAGGGCACGCCGGTGGTGGTCCGGTACCCGACCGTGGACGCGCACGGTCGGGCGACGCACCCGTGGAGGGGCGCCGGCACGGAGGGCAAGAGGCCGATCGGCCGGGGCTTCCACCACGGCCGCTTCATCATGCAGATGCGGCGGGCCTGCCAGGCGCACGCCAACATCACCGTGGTGGAGACGGAGGTGGTCAGCACCGTGCGCGGGCAGCACTCGGACCAGATCCTCGGCGTGGAGACGCGCACGACGGACAAGGAGACGGGCGACAAGAAGGCCGACTGCTTCTTCGGCCAGCTCACCATCGTCGCCGACGGCTACGCCTCCAAGTTCCGGAAGCAGGTCATCGCGCGCCCGCCCGTGGTGCGCTCCAAGTTCTACGCCCTCGAGCTCATCGACTGCCCGCTGCCGGAGCCCAACCACGCGCTCGTCATCATCGGCGACGCCTTCCCCGTCCTCCTCTACCAGATCGGCTCGCGCGAGACCCGCGCGCTGATCGACGTCCCGGCCGACATACCCGAGGCCAGCCCGGCCGCCGGCGGCGTGCGCGGCTACATCGACAAGTGCGTGCTGCCGGCCGTGCCGGAGCCGATCCGCTCGTCCATGGTGACGGCCCTGTCGGACGGCAAGATCCCCCGCTCCATGCCCAACAGCTGGCTGCCGCCCTCGCCCCAGTCGACCAAGGGTCTCGTCCTGCTCGGCGACGCCATGAACATGCGCCACCCCCTCACCGGCGGCGGCATGACCGTCGCCTTCAACGACGCCGTCATCCTGTCCGGCCTGCTCGCGCCCGAGCTCGTCCCCGACCTGGGCGACACCCGCGCCGTCGCCGCCGCCATGGACACGCTCTACTCCCGTCGCAAGAACCTGACCGGCATCGTCAACGTGCTCGCCCAGGCCCTCTACGCCCTCTTCGCCGCCAACGACCCCCAGCTGCGCATCCTCCAGCGCGGCTGCTTCGGCTACTTCGAGCGCGGCATGACCGACGGGCCCTCGGCCATGCTGGCTGCCATAGTCCAGCAGCCCGTCGTCCTCTTCTACCACTTCTTCAGCGTCGCCTTCCTGGCCATCTGGCTGAACGCCTGCGACCTCGTCGGTGGGCCCCTCGGCCTGTGGAAGGTGCCCCTCGCCTTCATCGACATGATCCTCATCCTCTGGAAGGCATCCATCGTCTTTGTTCCCTACATGTGGCGAGAAAACTTTCGGTAATGTCTCTCGGTTTTGCCTTGATTCATCACTCTTTTTTTCTCTTTTTTTTATTCTTCTTAAAAAAAAAAAAACTTCTTTATTTTTAAAGCCTTTTACAGAAGCATACATTTCATCATAGGCAACTCCGTTCTATAACTCCCATTTATTATAACTCTTTATCTATTTCCGTTTTTTGTCCTACCGAGCGATCTTGCCCCCCCC